GAGAGAGAGAGAGAGAGAGAGAGAGAGAGAGAGAGAGAGAGAGAGAGAGAGAGAGAGAGAGAGAGAGAGAGAGAGAGACAGAGAGAGAAAGACAGAGAGAGAAAGAGAGAGAGAGAAGAAGAAAGAGAAGAGGGAGAAGAAAGAAAGAGAAAGAGGAGAAAAGAAGAAAGAAAGAAGAGAAGAAAGAAAGAAAGAAAGAGAGACAGACAGACAGGCATAGAAAGAAAGAAAGAGAAAGAGAGAGATGCGCGCAGTTGCATGACACAACAACAAGAAAACAAACCGCAGCCCCCGCCTTCGCATGACCCCAAGGAATAAAAGCGAAGACCATTTCCCGCACCAAACAAACAAACAAATAAAAAAAAAGACTCTTTCCCTCACGAGCCTGACAAAAAAAAAAAAAAAGAAGAAATAAAAAGTATTTGGGTGTATAGCTGTATCATTCGTGGATGTGTTAAAGGCATCGCGATAACCACTTTTTGTCCGAAATCACTTTCTGTCTATCTTTATTTCTATCTATTTGTTCTCTATCTTCCTCTGCTTCCTATTAAATACATTTCATAACCAACTTCGACCTCTACCATATCCTTTTTTTTATAATAGATCTAGATTTAGTTTTAATTCCATTTGTTACAATGGATATTCTTTTGCTGTGAAATGCTGTCCGTTTATTTTGCTTCTAAATCTCCCCCTGTGTGCAAGGAAAGGCCGGGGTGACCATCCACTGGCAGCGCGCGGGATCGAACGCAGGTTAACAAGATTGCAAGACAAGAACGTTGCTATTGCACTACTCAACTATGCTAACAATTCCTATTTCCTATTAATATTCTAAAAAAAGCGTGATAATCTGTACTCTATATGCACTTGGTTCTTCCTTTTGAACTTTTTGAACTTCCTGACACGTTCAAATCAGGTCTTTTCCTCAACCTAGCTTATCCTAACCCTCCTCCTTTCATCCCTGCCTCCCTCACCCTTCCAAACCTCCCTCATCTTTGTTTATCTTAACCCTCCCTTCCTTCTCTCCCTCCCTCATCCTTCCAAGCTTCCTTCACCCTAATACATCCTCATCCTCCTCTTTCTATCCCTGCCTCCCTCACCCTTTCATCTCTCCCTCCCTCATCCTAGTTTATCCTAACCCTCCCTTCCATCTCTCCCTCCCTCACCCTAGATTATGCTACCGCCCTGTATCCATCTCCTTACCCTAATTTATCCTAATCCTCCCCTTCCTCCCTCACCTCCAAACCTCCTTTAACCTAGTTTATCCTAACCTTTATCTTAACCCCCCTTTCCATCCCTACCTCCCTCACCTGGTTCATCCTACCCCCCCCCCCTCCTTCCATCTCCTCCCTCCCTCCCTTCCAAATCTCCCTCACTTTTAGGTTATCTCCCCTCTCCTCCTCCTTCCATCCCTACCTCCCTCACTCTCCCAAACTTCCCTCCCTCATTTTCACGTCTTCCTCACACCTCATAACTCACACCTATTCCTCGCAAACCACAGTGGAAAATCAAAGAAAAAAAAACGAAAAAAAAGAAAAGAAAGAAAAAGAAAAAAAAAGAAAGAAAAAAAAACGAAAAAAAGAAAGAAAAAAGAAAGAAAGAAAGAAAAAAACGAAAAGAGAAAAGAAAGAAAACAAGATAAAAAATAAATGAAAGAAAAAAACGAAAAAAGAAAAGAAAAAAAGAAAAGAATAAAAAAGAAAAAACGAAAAAGAAAGAAAGAAAAAGAAAAAAAATAAATGAAAGAAAAAAAGAAAAGAAAAAAAGAAAAGAAAAAAGAAAAATAAAGGAAATCGTTATCGGAATAAAGATTCTTCACTTCTCCATCTCCGTTTTGGACATGCCTTGTAGGTCAAGCATGCGATATGGATGCGGGACAGGAAGCGATCATTCCCCCCTTCTCTCTCCCTTGCAAGTCTCTCTCTCTCTCTTGCAAGTCTCTCTCTTTCTCTCTCTCCTTCTCTCTCTCCTCTCTCTCTCTCTTGCAATCTTTCTCTCTGCAAGTCTCTCTAACGTGAGATGAAAGGGTGGGCTGAGAGAAGTGGGAAGAAAGGGAGGAGGAGGTGGAGGAGGAAGGGAGGAGAGAGGAGAGAAGGACGGGAGGAGAGAGGGTGAGGAAGAAAGAGAGAAAGGGGAGGAGGAGAAGGAGGGGGAGAAGAAGGGAGGGGAGGCGGAGGAGGAGAAGAGGAAAAGGGAGGAGGAGGAGGAGGAGGAAGAGGGAGGCGGAGAAGAGGGGAGGAGGAGGAGGAGAAGAGGAGAAAGGGAGGAGGAGAGGAGAGGATAAGGGAGGCGGAGAAGAAGAAGGAGGAGGAGGAGGGAGAGGAGGAGAGGGGGGAGGGGGCATGGGCAAGCTAACGTACCTTCTCATTTTTCAACGGGCTGTAACGAACCTCAGTACTTCCAGACTTCCCAATTAAAAGTTGAAATTAACAACGTTCTTGCTTCACAACAAACTATTATTAGATTTCTTCCTTTTTTTCTCTTCTTTTATTCCACCCTGGCTACTGTGGTCTTCGGCGGACTTTGCGACAGCCCGAAGAAGCGAAAAAAAAAACCCGCCATTTTTATTTTTTCCCGCGTAAAATTCGTTCCCGCCAATGGAACCTTTTTGAATCTTATTTATTTTATCTAGTGACTTTTTATCTAGTTTATTGCCATTTTCCATCGTTTATTACTATGTATCATTTACCTTTTTATTCTTTTTTTTCAGACGAAGGCAAAATGCACCAACGCTAATCTCATTAGCTTTCTCGCGCCAAAAAAAAAAAAAAAAAAAAAAAGGAAAAAATAAAATGGCGATGATTTTCTCCATTTCCTCGCCATTAGCTCCAACGTGTCATTTCCCGCTGCAAACCGCACGGTACTTCACTCGCGCGATAGATATTTTTTTTTATTTCTTATCCCGCTCGTTATTTCGTTTTTTTTTTCCTTCCCTGGGTCCGCTCTCTCTCTCTTTCTCTCTCGCTCTGTCTCTGTCTCTGTCTGTCTCTCTGTCTGTCTGTCTCTCTCTCTCTCTCTCTCTCTCTCTCTCTCTCTCTCTCTCTCTCTCTCTCTCTCTCTCTCTCTCATCTCTTCCCTCTCTTCTCTCCCCCCTCCTCTCCCCCCCCCTTTTCTCTTTCTCTCAATCTATTTGTCTGTCTTTTCCTGTTTGCATGTCTGCCTGTTTGCCTGGCTTTCTCTCCCTTTCTTCCTTTCTCCCTCCCTCCTCTCCTCCCTTCTTCTCCCTTCTCTCCTCTCCTTCCTCCCTCCTTCTTCTCCCTCTCCCTCTCCCTCCCTCCTCACCTCCCTCCCTCTCTCCTTCCTCTTCCTCTCCCTCCAACTCCCTCCTCCAACCCTCCCCCTTTCCCTCCTCCCTCCCTCACCGTGTCCTAAAGGGCGGCAGCTTACGACAGCAAGGCCATCATGCATAATAAATAGGTCCAGAAAAGTCACGCTGCACAGTCCCCTCTTGCAGCGAGATGCCATGCCAGATGTGGGGGAAGGGGAGGGAGAGGTGGAGGGTGATGTGGGGGAGGGGGGAGGTGGAGGGATAAGGTGGAGGGGAGGGGAGGGGTGATGTGGGGGAGGGGGGGGGGTGTTGTGGAGGTGGAGGTGGGGGGGAGGGGGGAGGTAGAGGGATAAGGTGGAGGGGGAGGTAGAGAGGAGGGGTGAGGTTGGGTGGTGGTGAAGTGAGGGGGAGCTGGTGGGGGGGTGGAGAGGAGGATGAAGTGGAGGGTGAGGTGAAGTGGAGGGGGAGGTAGAGAGAGAGGGGTGAGGTGGAGAGATAGGGGTGAGGTGGTGGGGAAGGGGAGAAGTGAGGTGGAGAAGGAGGAGTGTAGTGGGGGGGGGGTGATATGAAGAGTTAGAGGGAGAAGGGTGAATTGGAGGGTGAGGTGGAGGTGGAGAGGGATATGGTGGGAGAGGGGTGAGTTGGAGAGGGAGGGGGTGAGAGGAGGGAGAGGAAGGGTTGAAGTGGGAAGGGAGGTGGAGGGTAGGGGAAGGTGGAGAAGGAGGAGGAGGGAGGGCTGAGGTGGAGGGTGAGGTGGAAGGGGAGGCGGAGGTGGAGGCGGAGGTGGAAAGGCAGGGGTGAAGAGGGGAAAGGAGAGGGGAAGGATAAGTGAGGGAGGGAAAGGGATTAGTAAAGGAGAAATGAAGAGGAAACGACAGGAGAAGAAGAAGGGCCGAACAAGCAAGGAAAGGAAAGGGAAAGTGGATAGAAGGAGGGTGGGGAAAGGGAAGGAAAAGGAAGAGAATAAAAAAAGAAGCAAATAATAAAGAGAATAAGAAATCACCGAAATATACCCCCAAAACTCCCCTTTCAAGATCAGCTGACCCCATCCGCATGAACTACCCCCACCCGCCGTACCGCACCCCCTCCCCCCCACCGCCTGCTTGCCGTAGTTACCAGCAGGTGGCTTTATACGCTGGTAATTACTGCGAACCTTGCTTCATAATTACGGATTCTAACGGTCCTTTAATTCCTAATTATCCTCAGCGAGCGAGTGGGTTCGGGATGCAACGTGTGCTCGTGTGTGCGTGTCTCGCGTGTGTACGTATGTGCGTGTCTCTAGTGTGTGTGTGTCTCGTGTGTGCGTATCTCTCGTGTGTGCGTATCTCGCGTGTAAGTCTTTGTGTGTGTCTCGAGTGTGTACGTATGTGCATGTTCTCGTCGTGTCGTATGTGCGTATCTCTCGTGTGTGCGTGTCTCGTTGTGTCGCGTAATCGTAGTGTTGACGTGTCTCGTGTGCGTAGTCGTGTGTGCATCTGGTGTGTTATGTCGTACGTGCATCACTCTTATATACAAGTGAGTACACTACATGTCCTTATGCGCATTCACCACACAGTTCCTCCCTCAAAAAAAAAAAAAAAAAAAAAAAAATAAAAAAAACAAAAAAAAAACTTAATTAATAACAAACAATAATAAAAAAAAAAAGAAAACAAAAACAGACACCCTCAAACACCGGCGCCCTTCCCCCCGCAACCCCCCGACATGACCCTCGGTTCCCCAGACACGAAGACCTTACCTCCTTCAGTTTGTTGGTGACCCATTCCTTGATCTTGGCTGCCTTGGCCTCGACCTTCTTGGCATCCTGGAGCCGCAGCTGCCTCTGTGGGGGAGGAATTAATACAGATTTAAAGACCTTTTCTTCTGAAGATGCCTTTCGATTAGATATTATTTAGATATACGAAGTTGATTAGATATTACGAAAGGGAAATTAGATACGGGATAGAATTAGATATACGAAAAGGAAATTAGATACGGGATAGAATTAGATATACGAAAAAGAATTAAATATACGACATAGAATTAGATCTACGACATAGAATTAGATATACGAAATAGAATTAGATATACGACATAGAATTAGATATATGAAAGCTTTTCTCTAAAATAAGGAATGGATGTTGAGCAATTCATTTAGCAAATTGCTGAATCGCATTTAATGGCATTAAAAGGAGAGAGAAATAGCTGTCGTAAACAGACAGGAAAAAGAAAAAGAAAGAGAAAAACAAGCAAGCATGCACTTATTCTATTCCCTTTAGGCTCTGGTCTTCCATCTTCCGTGCATTCGAGTGACGTGTTTTTTTTTGTTTTTTTCCCTCGTATTAAGCAAGTCTCGGGAGCAATTTCTCTCTTTCTCTCTCTCTCTCTTTTTCTCTCTTTCTCTCTCCCTCCATCTCTCTATCTATCTCTCTCCCTCCTCCCTCTCTCTTTCTCTCCCCCCCTCTCTGTATCTTTCTCTATCTCTCCCTCCTTCCCTCCTTCTCTCTCTCCCTCTCTTTCTTTCCCCCCTCTCTTTATCTTTCTCTCTCCCTCCCTCTCTCTCTTTCTCTCTCTCTCTCTCTCTCTCTCTTTTTCTCTCTTTCTCCCTCCCTCCCTCTCTCTCTCTCTCTCTCTCTCTAATCTCTCATCCCTTTCCGTTTCCCTCCTTGCTATTGTTCCTCTTCCTCCTTTACTGCATCCTATCTCTACTTGTCTATTGTACATGCTAACTTTCCCCATCTATTCCGCCTCCTTCCACCCTGTCTCTCTTCTCTCTTCGATTTCCTTTCCTCTGAGATTCGTCGACTTCATTGCCTCCTTCTTTCTCCCTCTCCTAGATACCCTCCCTATCTTCTTTTCCTTCACTCCCCTTTCCTCCTCTCCGTCTTCTTTTTCTCCTTATCCTCTCCTCTCCTTTCTCCCTTCTCCATCTCCCTCTTCTCCCCCTTCCTCCTCTTCTCTCTTTCCCTTTTTTTATCCCCCTTCCCCATTTCCTTCTGCCCTACTCCCTCTTCCTCTCCCTCTCCTCCTCTCTCCTTCCTCCTCTTCTCTCTTTCCCTTTTTTTTATCCCCCTTCCCCATTTCCTTCTCCTACTCCCTCTTCCTCTCCTTCCCTCTCCTCTCTCCTTCCTCCCCTTCTCCCTCTCCTCCTTCCTTCCTCTCCCTTCCTCCCCTCCCCTCTCCTCTCCTCCTTCCTCCCCTCCTCCTCCCTCCTTCCCCTCCTCCTCCCTCCTTCCTCCCCTTCTCCCTCTCCTCCTTCCTCCCACCTCTCTCTCTGAGCTACATCCAACTCAAACTTCGAAGCACCCAAGGAAAAAAAGAAAAAGAAAAAGAGAGAGAGAAAATAAAACAGAGAAACCTGGACAAGAGAAACCCATCCAGGAAGCCGCTCGAGAACCTGAGATGATTTTCGGATATCGGGTCCCCTGGGTTTCTCCCCCTGGGTTTTCCTCCCTGGGTTTCTCCCCTTGGGTTTTCCTCCCTGTTTTTTTTCCATCAGGGTCTCCCCCCTGGGTCTCTCCCCTCCCTGGGTTTCTCCCCTGGGTCTTTCCCCTCGATTTCCCTCCCTGGATTTCTCCTCTGGGTTTCTCTCCCTGTGTCTTTCCCCCTGGGTGTCTCCCCTCGATTTCCCTCCCTGGATTTCTCCTCTGGGTTTCTCTCACCCCCTTGGGGTCTCCCTCTGGGTCTTCTCCCTCACAGGGTAAACACGGACAGCCTCACTATTTGCATATGTACACAGGCATATGCAAAGAACGCTTACAAACCTACGGTCACGGACAGATATAAAAAATAGAGGAGGAATTCATAGAAAGATGGGAAGATAAAAAACAAATAGAGGAGGTACATAGGAAGAGGAGAAGAGGGGGAGAGATGATAGAGGGAGGGGAGGATAAATAGAGAGAGTGAGAGGGCAGGCAGCGGAGAGACAGGAAGGTAGGCAGAGAGGGAGAAAGAAAGGGAGGAAGGGAGGAAGGAGGGAGGAGGGAATAAGGAGGAGGGCGAGGAGAGGAGAGAAAAGAGAGAGAGAGGATGACGGGTTGAGCAAAGAACAAAAAAAGAGAACAGAGTGAGAATGGAAGCGATGAGAGTGTAAGAGAGTGAAAGAGAGAAAGTAAAGAGGAGAGAGAGACGAGAGAGGCGAGAGAGAGAGGAGAGAGAGAGAGAGAAGAGAGAGAGAGAGAGAGAGAGAGAGAGAGAGAGAGAGAGAGAGAAAGAGAGAAGAGAAGAGAGGAGGAAAGAAAGAAAGAAAGAAAGAAAAAAGAAAGGAAAAGAAAGAAAGAAAGAATGAAAGAAAGAAAGAAGGAGAGAAAGAAAGAGAAGAGAGAAAACGCGGGCCAGCCGAGAGAGGGCAAACACTAACACTCATACAGCCCGAAATTACTCTAATGGGTGAGCTAACTTCTACTGACACATATCCCCTAACCCCCCTAGCCCCCTCCCCCCACCTTACCCCCCCCCCTGACCTAACTTCTCCCGCCGCCGCTTCAATAGGCACCTGATGCACGGCCGTCCTTGGCACCGTCCGCTTATCCTTTCCTATTCCCTCTTTCTCTACTTTCTCTGTGTTGTTCTTCTCTTCTCTCTCCCTTCGTCTCTCTCGGAATTTCTGTTTCTCTTTCTTCTAATACTGTTACTCTTTATTTACTTTTTTCACCACAGATTTTCTCTCTTATTCTTACTTATTTCCCTCTCATTCTTACTTCTTTTACCTTTCTCTCTCTCTGTCTCTCACCTTTTGTTTCTCAATTCACATTATCTCTCTCTATCCCTCACCCCTTTTTTCTTATTCTTCTTCTCTTAAACCCTGTCTCCAAATTCCACATTCTATCTCTGTTTCTTTCCTTATTTATCTACATTTATCTCCCCTTTCTATCAAACTCTCAGGGCCTCCATCTCTTTATCCATCTCGCTCTCTATCTCTCTATCCCTCTCACCCTCTATCTTTCTTTGTCACTCATTTTCCATCTCTCTATCCCTCTCTCCCTCTAACTTTCTTTATCACTCATTGCCCATCTCTCTATCCCTCTCATTCTTCATTTCTCTTTATTGCTTTTATTCTCTTTTTTTTCTCCCTCTCACCCTCCATTCCTCTCCATCCCTCTACTTCTACCCTCTTCATTCTTCTCACCCCTCTTCCTCTCTCTATCCCTCTCAACATCTATCCCTCACATTCTCAACCCCTTTCCATCCCTCTCATCCTCGTTCTCTCTCTATCCCTCTCACCATCTATCCCTCTCATTCTCCATCCCTCTCACCCCCAATCTCTCTCCACCCCTCTCACCCTCATTTTCTCTCCATCCCTCTCTAATCCTCCTGCTCCCACCCGTCGTCATCCCCTCACCATCTCCCTCTCATTCTCAACCCCTCTCCATCCCTCTCATTCTCCCTCCCTCCCTCCCTCCTCGCCTCTCACTCTCCACCTCTCTAATCCTCCTGCTCTCCACCCGTCGTCATCCCTCTCACCATCTATCCCTCTCATTCTCCACCCCTTTCCATCCCTCTCATTCTCCCTCCACTCCATCCCTCTCACTCTCCACCCCTCTTTAATCCTCCTGCTCTCCACCCGTCGTCATCCCTCTCACCATCTATCCCTCTCATTCTCAACCCCTCTCCATCCCTCTCATTCTCCCCCTCCCTCCCTCCTCCCTCTCACTCTCCACCCCTCTTAATCCTCCTGCTCTCCCACCCGTCTTCATCCCTCTCATTCTCAACCCTTCTCCATCCCTCTCATTCTCCCCCCCTCCCTCCTCTCCCTCCCTCCCTCCACGCCTCTCCCTCTCCCAGCGAAACCCACCTGTTCCTCTACCTGCGTTGAGAGCGTTGAGATGACGGACTCCTTCTCCACGATCTCCGTCTGCAAGTCCTCCACGTCCTCGCCGTCGTCCCTGCTGGCTCCACCTCCTCCTCCGCCTCCACCACCTCCTCCTCCGGCCTCCTCCTCCACCTCCGGCACTCCACTCCAGCCGCCTCTCCATCACGCGGACCTGCGGGGGTGGGAGGGAGGGATAAGAGGGGGGTGTTATTACCATTATAATAATGACTGCACTTTTGTGATTAGCATGGGTTCCTTTTCATTAAGGCTTATTATCACTTGTGGGTTTAGGGCGCGTTGGGCCTTGCTGGCTCCACTTGATGCTGTGTTCGCGCGGGTCTTAAAACACTTTAATACAGTGAAAGTGGGCGGCTGCTGCTATTACAGTTACTTAAATAGTCTGCATCATGTATGCGCGTGGGTGTGTATATTCACAAACAGAGGTATATAGTAGATTATATTTGTTTTATATATAGACATATGTATATTATATATATCACGTATAGTTATATGTTATGTGTTTATATATATACATGTATACTGTTATATTATCTATCTATCTATCTATCTATTCATTTTATTCACAGTACATATACATTATAGTTATCATAAAATATACACGATACCATGAATATTGGATACAACAACGGCCACAATATAGAAGACAATACTTCAACTAGAAATAAAAATAACCCATCATGCAAAGACAATTACGTATACCCATAAAATCGAAAAAAATATCAAAGTACGTAAATAAACAAAACAAATGAATATCAAATAAACAAAACAAACCAAATAAACAAATAAACAAAACAAATAAAAATCATAACAAATAAAAAACCAAACCAAATAAACAAATAAAACAACCATAAAAACAAACAAAACAAACCAATAACAAATAAACAAAAATCAATAAAAATCCTATAAATCAATATAAATAAAAATCAATAAAAACCAAATAAACAAATAAACAAAACACGTGCCGAGGCAGCGAGGCGAACCCCCCAAGCAAGGACAGCCGAAGACCCCGCCAGGAGATCAGCTGAGAGGGAGAACCGCCGGCCATAACTCTACGGTAACGACAACCCTAGTTTCACTGTCACACCGCCAGGCATTTCGGGAGAGATAACGGAGTACGGGGTTTACATCGAATAAATATATATATATATATATATATATATAATATATATATATATTATATATATATATATATATATATATATATATATATATAATATATATTTTTTTTTTTTTTTTTTTTTTTTTTTTTTTTTTTTTTACTACAAAAACCCTATCAAAAATGCGGGCTTATCTAAAAAGTAAAAAATAAATAAATAAATAAATAAATAAAAAGTAAAATAAAAAAGATCATAGAGAGTAATAGAAATAAATAAAGGCTTAAGTAGAGAGAGAGTTAAAAAAAAAGTTGATTCAGAGATGCTTGGGGGAACGAGTGTCTAACTAATATTTGCAGCGTGAGATTATTTGCAATACAATCCATATTTCGCAGAATTACTTCAGAATAAAACACCAACATTAATTTCTCGGAAGGCAACAATTGTTCACTCCCCAACCTCCTAAGAAAAGAAAAGAAAAGAAAAGAAAAGAAAAGAAAATAACGTAAATAACAAAACAATGATCACGATAAAGACAACCAAAAAAAAAAACAAAAACAAACACACTCATAAAAAAGGAAGAAATAATAACACCGGCAACGACGAGGAAATATACATATATACCCCTTTTTTCCCGGAAGGTCGAACGCTCACACACGATATATAAAGTTTGTTTAGCACTCGTTATCCCTCACACTCCATTACGGGTATTGGCGTGCTACTCGGCTGCGCCGCCGGGAGTGGGAAGGCCTCGATTTAAAGCCCCGAACCCGGCATAACTCGGGATGAATGAAACCCGCTCAGATCTCGAAGAAGCGAAGGGAAGGAAGGTGGGAAGGAAAGAGGGAAGGGAAGAGGGAAAGGAGGAGAAAAGAGGGATAAGGAGGAAGAGGAGAGGAGGAGAGGGAGGAAAGAGGACGGGAAGAGGGAGGGAGGGAGGGAGGAAGGAGGGAACGAAGGGAAGAGGGAGGGAAGGGGGAGAGAGAGGAGAGAGAGAGAGAGAGAGCGAGAGAGAGGAGAGAGAGAGGAGAGAGAGAGGAGAGAGAGAGAGCGAGAGAGAGAGAGAGAGAGAGAGAGAGAGGAAGGAGGGAATGAAGAAGGGAGGGAGGGAGGAAAAGAATAAAAGAAGGAAGGAGGAAGGAAAGAAGGAAGGAGAGAGAGAGAGAGAGGGGGAAGAACGAAAAAAAAGGGAGGGAGGGAAGGAGGGAAGGAATGAAAGAACGAGGGAGGGACAGGAACGAGAGAAGGAAGCGAAAGAAGATGGTGGGAAGAACAGAAGGAAGGAGGGAGAGAAGGAATGTTGGGATGGGACCAGACACCAGATGAGACACCTCCATCCTAGGACACGGTAGGATTCCGTGGAGAATAAGAAGCTCGTCTTGGGCGTGCTGGAGGACAGGCTCTTTAGCTTTTTTTTTTATCTTTATCTATTTTTCTTAAGTTTGAGAAATGTGAATCATATCTCAATGGGGCCTATGAAAGAGCTCGATTTCTTTCTCATTCTCATTCTCTCTCTCTCTCTCTCTTCCTCTTCCTCTCCCTCCCTCCCTCCCCTCCCTCTTCCTCTCCCTCCCTCTTCCTCTTCCTCTTCATCCTCATCTTCATCTCCATCTCTCTCTCCCTCTTCCTCTTCATCTCTCTCTCCATCTCCCTCTCCCTCTTCCTCTTCATCCCCCTCTTCCTCTCTATATCCCTCTACATCTCCATCTCCATCTCCCTCTCTCTCTTCCCCTTCCTCTCTCCCTCTCATCCCCCCCTCTCTCTCTCTCCCTCTCGCGTATGTGTGCGTGTGTGCAGCAGATGAAGATGGATGAGGAATAAGGTCGAGAATCGCAATCAATAACAAATAACAAACGCCATCACGCAATGCCGAACTATCAACCGAAAATCACGGAAAAAACATAAAAAAAACGTAACGTAAATTCATAAACCTCGACAAATCTTTTAATAAATAAATGAAAAAACCGACAAATCTCTCAAACCTAAACCAAAAAAAAATCCATCAAATCCACCAACAAATCAACGTAAACCCAACGCCTTTTTCCGCCCACATCTCCCGCCCAGACCCTCTGCCGAACTCGGGCGCAGCGGGAGCGAAATGCCTCGACCTCGACGTGGGCGCAGAAACTCATCAACGCAGCCTCGTAATCGCGGGAGCATTTGCAGATCCGGTAAATGTGGCGGAAGCTCCAAAGGCCCGGAATACACTTGGCTGACTCCGTATTCCACGTCTGTCTGTCTGTTAGTCTGTCAGTCTCGCCTTGTCTGTTTGTCTGTCTGTCGGTCTGTGTCTCGCCTTGTCTGTTTGTCTGTCTGTCTGTCTCTCCTTGTCTGTTTGTCTGTCTGTCTGTCTCGCTTTCCTTGTCTATCAAAACTAAACCAAAAAACCCGACAAATCTATCAGAACTAAACCAAAAAACGACAAAGCCTATCAAACAAACCAAACAAAAACGACAAACCTATCAAAAAACCAAAAAACGACAAATCTATCAAAAATAAACCAAAAATCCAACAAATCTATCAAACCTAAAAAAAAGAAAGAAAAAAAAAAACGACAAATCCATCAAAACTAAACCAAAAAATCCGACAAATCCATCAACAAATAAACCAAAAAAAACGACAAATCCATCAAACCTAAACCAAAAAAATCCGACAAATCCATCAAAACTAAACCAAAAAAATCCGACAAATCTATCAAAACTAAACCAAAAAAACCCAAACAAATCCACCAACAATCAACGCAAACCCAACGCACTCTCCGCCCACATCTCCCGCCCAGACCCTCTGCCGAACTCGGGCGCAGCGGGAGCGAAATGCCTCGACCTCGACGTGGGCGCAGAAACTCATCAACGCAGCCTCATAATCGCGGGAGCATTTGCAGATCCGGTAAAAATGGCGGAAGCTCCAGATGCCCGGAATACACTTGGCTGACTCCGTATTCCACGTCTGTCTGTCTGTCTGTCAGTCTGTCTCGTCTTGTCTGTTTGTCTGTCTGTCTGTCTCGCTTTCTTGTCTACAAAACTAAACCAAAAAAATCCGACAAATCTATCAAAACTAAACCCCAAAAAATCCGACAAACCTATCAACTAAACCAAAAATCCGACAAATCCATCAAAACTAAACCAAAAAAATCCGACAAATCTATCAAACCTAAACCAAAAAAACCCAACAAATCCACCAACAAATCAACGCAAACCCAACGCACTCTCCGCCCACATCTCCCGCCCAGACCCTCTGCCGAACTCGGGCGCAGCGGGAGCGAAATACCTCGACCTCGACGTGGGCGCAGAAACTCATCAACGCAGCCTCATAATCGCGGGGAGCATTGCAGGTCCGGTAAATATGGCGGAAGCTCCAAAAAGGCCCGGAATACACTTGCTGACTCCGTATTCCACGTCTGTCTGTCTGTCTGTCAGTCTGTCTCGTCTTGTCTGTTTGTCTGTCTGTCTGTCTCGCTTTCCTTGTCTATCAAAACTAAACCAAAAAATCCGACAAATCTATCAAAACTAAACCCAAAAATCCGACAAACATATCAAAACTAAAAAAAAAAAAAAAAAAAAAATCCATCAAAACTAAACCCAAAAATCCGACAAACCTATCAAACCTAAACCAAAAAAATCCGACAAAATCCACCAACGAATCAACGTAAACCCAACGCACTCTCCGCCAACATCTCCCGCCCAGACCCTCTGCCGAACTCGGGCGCAGCGGGAGCGAAATACCTCGACCTCGACGTGGGCGCAGAAACTCATCAACGCAGCCTCATAATCGCGGGAGCATTTGCAGATCCGGTAAAAATGGCGGAAGCTCCAAAGGCCCGGAATACACTTGGCTGACTCCGTATTCCACGTCTGTCTGTCTGTCTGTCGGTCAGTCTCGCCTTGTCTGTTTGTCTGTCTGTCTGTGTCTGTCTCGCCTTGTCTGTTTGTCTGTCTGTCTGTCTCGCTTTCCTTGTCTATCAAAACTAAACAAAAACAAATCATCCTCAAACAA